CCCAAGGGCCACCTCGGTGCGGAAGAGGCAGCCGGTCTCCTTCCATGAGCCAGCCCTCTAGCAGCTGAAGGGAGTTTCTCTCCCGCGAGTTAATTCCCCCCACCTGAGGCTGCYTAGGGCAGTCTGACACCTACACAGACCCTTGAAGCATGAATTAATAAAACTGAGCTAGGATTTAATAAGCTACAAGTTCAGGTCACAACAAGACGCCCCAGAAGGTCTTTGTGCCAGCAGTTTATGTCACAGCTTAGCAACACCCTCATGCCCGTGCTCYGCTGCCTGAGCCACGCTTCCTCCCCTGTGCTCTATGGAAAATAGGCCRTGCAGGGCAGGCAGCTGAAGCCCGAGAAAGAAGCTGGGTGATGGGCAGGTAGAAACTTAGTCAATATTGAGTTGTAAAGGAGAAAGCCTGTTCTGAAATTAAGTAATTCTACTTCAGGCCCCAGGGACAAAACAAGGGCAGTAGTTCAAAACATGAAAACTAACAGTTAACACTCCACAGAACAGCAGAATATGATGAACACACTTTAATTAAGAAATACAACCATTGTCACGTTATGTCTTTGAACRTGAATTCTGTATCCCACCACATACCTCTCACATTCCACAATGACAAAGAAAAAAAATGATAGTCTTTAATGCTTACATAATTTCCAAGAAACAAAGTATTAGTGAAGAAAGTAGTATCCTTTTACTGTATTAGGAAGTTAGTGCTATTTGCAAGAAAAGGGATTATAAATAAACGTATGTAGACATTAGGGGAGGGGRAAAAAAAAGCCCTAGATCCACAGTGTTTCACAGAATTAATGCTTACAAACAGTACTTCAACCCAGCAGAAGAGAAACCAGTTACTGGAGGTTTCATTTTGCACTGAAAGACATTTGAAATAAGTATGTGACTTGACATAGGACAAGTAATTATACACATACATATATTTCCACCTTTTAAAACAAATTGCATTTATAGTGTTTGATTCCCTTACACACAGGCACAAACTTTGCTAGCTTCTCTTTCCCTTTGCAGAAGTTAGTGAGACTGTGCAATGCTGGAGCAGTAGTCTAAAATATCCTGTATAGTGAATTCCATAGTAATTCCTGATCCAGGATAGCAGCGAGCAATCAGCCCTTCAAAGTGCTTGTACTGACGTATAAACTCATCTTGCATTGAATGCCACACAACCTGCCAAAGAAAGCAAACTTCAGATATTGCCATCCGGCACCACACGCAGAATGCAAAAGCTGCACAACAAGCTCATTAATTGATTCTTAGTACAGAGAAGGCAATATCTAAAAAACAAAGCTCGTCAGCATCAAGGCACAGTAAACTGAGTTGTATCATTAGTAAAAATGGGTTTATTCAAGTATATACTGCTACAGAGTAGCAACTAAATTTCTGAATCACATTAGTTCATTTGAATCTGGTTCACCCCTCTTCCAGCATGTCCCAGAAATAGGGGGAAATCATGAAATAATAAAGGACGTTTCTGTGACCTCTCTTTCTTTACTATYATAGTTAAAATCAATTTGTTAAACAAATAAAGTGAGCAAGGGTTTATAGGAAGTCCAKCTCAAAACAGTCAGTGTTTTTCAGAATTACTCAGAAGCTAGAAATGTCCTACAAAATACACATGCAAAAGCAGTAATAAAGTTTGTAAAAATATTAACAAGCGATTCAGATTATTCTTTTTAAACCATGGTTGAGTTTACCTGAAGTAAGTTTTCTTCTTCACAGAGATGTTTGTCTACCTTCTTGTAGAGGTTATCCAATCCCTTCTTCACTTCCTTACCAGGATATTCCTTTATGACTTTCCGAAGCTCTTGTTTATTGAAAGCCAACTGATAACTTACTTCTTCTTCACGTATCCCTTGAGCCACACGAGCTTCAACACCTTCAAAAAAATGCTAATAATGATAATCATTAGTTTAGATTTCTCATAGACATTAAATATAACTACATATACGCTTATTTCATGGCCTATCTTGCTTCTGCTCAACAACATGGTTCCTGCGTGCTCCATCCATTTTCCTTTTYAATTGTTATGGCAGTATTGCCCAGCCGTAAACATCTGAACTCAGCGCACTGAGTTCTGAGTTCACATCACTCCATAAGTACCAATGTAAAACTAAAATTAAACATTTCTAAAAGTAATCAAGCTTCTCTTTGCAACCTTCTAACCAATACTCAACCATTCTCAAACTCCTCAATTAATGAGATCACAGCCTAAAAAAGAGGTGGATCATTAAGGGATAAACTTGGACCAGTCATTTGAATAGGAATGGTCTCTACTTCTTTCTACACCATAATTACACTGCAGCAATTTTTATTCGTAATTGCCTTCTTTTCTCACCTTCCTCCAAGTAGGTAGCTCAATTTATCATTAAAAASAAAGCGAAGTAGGCCAAACATCTGCGCAAAGCCATATCAACTGATGTTGGAAGCAGTAATAAGCTATTCTATTCACAAAAAGAGATCAGGTTTTAGACTTTTTTCTTCTCTCAATCTGTCTGTGAGAAAATGAGTGTCTGAAAGTATCAGCAGGCTAAAGTTCTTATAGAAAGAAAAAAAGAAAAAAGCAGTTACCTACTTTCAGTGGATAGAACTGAAATATTTATAGTCTAAAGCTCAGTCACAGCATTTGATGGGGTGTACAGGACTTTCTTATGAAAGTTACAGCAATGACTATTTTATTTTGTTTTTGAAACATCCAACATTAGTCTCTCTCCAGCTGAGGTAGAAAAAGCTCTCGATTGATCACAAGGATAGCAGAAGATAGTGGAAGAAAATATCCAATGTTTTCATGGCAATAGCAGTACTGATGAACCAGTTTAAGCATCTTAACTGTTTTTAAAGGAGGAAGCAAACATTTAGAGTTATCTGCTTTGCATTTATTAAATATATCAAGCTAAAGTGGAATATACTTGCATTTAATTTCTCAAGAGGCTGTCCAAGCGAGTAGATTACATAAGACTGAAGATGATCGGTGTATTTCTGTTTGGCTTCCTTTTTCTCAGACTCAAGACAAGAAATTTTCAAGCGAGAAAGCGTTGCAAAAATATGATGGAAGTTCTCCATCATCACCACATCTCTCGGTGTTTTCTGGCTTTCATTTGCCACTTTCTCAACTGTAAGAGAAAAACAAAACATAAATGTCTTAAAATATCTGAAGGACAGAAACAATAAAAAAAAGAGAGCCACAATAATATTGCAGGAATAAATTTGGGATTTTATGCTGAAAACAATGATTTATACAATTGTCTCAAATATTCTTTTATTTAACAATAGTTAGGGCAATAAGAGAAGAAAAATAAATAGTTCTAAGAGTAGGGAATTTGTTTATCAAAAACAGATACAAAATAGTCACTACACAGTCATTTACATAACAGATATTATCAACATGTTTTGTGAAGGTATAAAAGTATGCTGAATTACCTTTTAAAAATTTAATGCAAGAACTACATAAGAAAATACTTCTTATCCTCTTTTTTACAATAAAAATCTTCAATAACTTTTTTGTTTGTTTGTTTGCTTTACTTCCCCTGTTTCTCTTCAGCGTTTTTTGCTTAGCTTATTAATTCTGTGGTCAAAATTCATTTCCATTATCAGCTCTGGGTAATGAAAGTGATAGACTTGCATGTGGGCCTGAAACAAGCTCAGGGCAGAAGAGAAACTCCATGCTATTGCTCCTACACGCCGAGTGGGAGAGGATGGCTTCAGCCATGGCAAATGCAGCTCCCTAGGCCCGCTCCTCCGTTTCCCAGCTCACCAAGGCCACCAAATCCCACGTCTTCCATGAGAATGAAGGGCATGGGCATCTCTGTCCATGAGGATTAGGGCACAGCTTCCTGGGCACCACAGTATCAATAAACAGAGCTGACCATTTTGCTTCCAAATGACATAACCAAAATGTCATTCGGGAAAATCTGCTACTGCCAATTTTGGTCTTTTCTTTCTTCAAACCAAAATACTACATCTTTCTTTTTCAACATTACTTGTAAATTAACTACCTTATTGCACTGAATGTATAAAATTGGTACAAGAAGGAAATTGCATTAGTTTGATTTTGTTTCCTCTTCATTATTTATATATTTTTCTTCTTCCTCTTCCTTTTCTTCCTTGTTCTCCAAGTTAGCTCTGTACAAGTTTAAAACTTACATCTTCCATCTTAAATTCCTTTTGAAACAAGCTTTCTGAATTCTTCCTGTACTTTTCTACCACTGTATAGTTTTGCTTGTCTCTTGTCTCTTGTCTCTGATTATTTTTGTCACTTGAACTGTACCTTCTTAAAGACAGAAATTTCAGGTACAATCAAATAACATAAAATTATTCCTAAAATTTACTATCCTATCAGCGAGGATGCTGCTGCTGACCAGATATGGACTGTGAAGTGATATCTCCTCAGCACTGCACAATCTGTTCTGAAATACTGTGCTACAATTTCTCAGATGAGCTTCACTGAGCTCATCAGATGAGCTTTGTCCTCTTCCTCTAAAAAAAACAGGTACGTCCCACTGGCCGGGAACAGATGGAGCTGTTCTCAAGTAGGCAAGCACACAGAGATGGAGAAAACAATACATAACCAGGAAAGAATCGCTTTTAAGCAT